TTAACCCTGATACATAGATGTTTAAAGTTTGACAATGACTACATGAAATTTCCACTGAAATATTTCACAGAGTACTGAAAAAAATTAGAATGGAAAAGGCAAAGGATAATTAATCATTAAAATATTTTATTATCTTTTGCAAATTCAACATTTATTTATTTAACAAGATACCATCAATATTTACAGACTTTTTAAGTTCCTCAAAGCAACAGTGTAGAACTTTGAACAACTGTCAATTTAATTATTTATTGATCATGCCCCTATATTTATTAATTCAGTCATGTAAGGTCAAGACTGAGAACCTATAACCCCAAAGGCAGAATCCTACAGACCATTGAATAACCTCAAGCAAAGACATAGAATTCTAATACAGAGAGATGCATACCATCAACTCCATCAGTTCTCTAAGGAACATAGTTAGACTTTTCCTAATCAACCTTAACAGATGAAAAATGGGGGAAAGGTGGGATAGGGAAAGCTTTATGTCAAACACCATTTAAGGATCTACAGTGCCCTCAGACCAATGAAAACATTAGACTATCTTTGATCCAATTTAGCTTATTTCCTTTCACTTATTCAATGAAAAGGAAACTAATTTCATTTAATCAGAAAAAAAGAAAACAATAGGTAACCCTCAACTTACCACTATAACTGAGCCCAACATTTTTGTTGCTAAGCGAGACATTTGTTAACTTTTGCACCATTTTACAACATTTCTTGTCACAGCTGTTAATGAATCATTGCAATTGTTAAGTTAGTAATATGGCTGTTAGATGAATCCCTAACCCCATTGCCTTACTTGTCAAAAGGTTACAAAAGGTGATCACATTATCCCAGGAAACAGTCATAAATATGGGTCAGCTTCCAAGCATCTGCATTTTGATGACATGACCACAAGGTGTCTGAGATGGTCATAAGCATAAGTCCCTTTTTTCAATGCTGTCATAATTTTGAATGGTCACTCAGTGGCCTATTGAAAATGGTGGACTACCTGTATTCAATTAGTAAACCAGTCATTTCCAACCTGCTAACCAGTTTCTTTACAATTTCAGCTTGAGTCAATCTGATGCTAAATTTCTTCCGTACATGGACACATATTTGCTTGATGAAGTAATCCCCTTTTAGGTGTTATGTTATCCAGAACACTTATGATGGATACAACTCTTGTTATGATATAATTAGCTTCAACGTATTCACTGAAATCTGACAAGAATTTTTGTTGTATAGTGATGATTTTATTTAGGCCAATCCCAGTTAAGTCAATAGAGAGCTTTCACTCAATATTTGTATAGATAAAAGTTCAGGTTATGATAGAAATATGGATTATTAACTCACAGTATGAAATTAAAAGAATAATTAAGAGGACATGATAAAAGGAATACTTTTTAGCAATAAGTTTGATAGTACTAATTAAATATATAAGCAGAGTAAGTTTTTAAATCAAATAGCAGTTCACTGAAGGCAAACAATTGCTTACTTGCAATCCAGCACTTCTGGAGTTCCAGCAATCTTTCAAGTCAGAGGACAGAATTGCTTGCTGTGATATATTGTATGGTTGATGCTTGAATTACCAAGCCTTCACCTCAAAGGACTTGAACAACAGTTTCTATTTGTCTGCAACTTCATCTTCTAGCAATTGGATTAAACTCCAGTCCCATTAAATGGTATCAGATTAAGCCTTCCTCTCACCATATTATTCAGTGAAACCAGCATTTCTTTAGCATTTGCATTTGCAGAATTAACATTTGATAAACAAAAGTTTGTTTTATGGTCCTAGATCATAATGTAGGTATCAGGGCTCAATGGTGAATGCCTTCAGAGAAGCCAATATCATTAAATGTTTATCTGGGTAGCAGTGAGTCACCTGAACTTCTCTCGTCATGAGCATACCAGATTTGTAATGCCTGAAAGGGTCTTCTGAATGCCACAGAGCCAGCAGACATAACAATATCATGAAAACTGGACCAGAAGAATGCCCATTGATTATATAAAAACAACCACACAGTTTGTTTTACTGTACATAATTATTAGTGAAACAATATTGGGTGAAGATAAAGGAAAATGGTATCCACATTCCTCTAGTAGCCTAAGATGAAGCTTATCAATAAAATATCTGAAGTGCTTAGGATTCTTAGGAGAAAGCTATATAGATCTTATTAAAATTAGCCATATGGGGTTTTTTGCAATGTAGAATAAATTTGTTTAAGATATCAATATATTTTATATAACACTATGGCATATTGCTTGCTGTTTAAGGATATCATTTTTAATTGCAATTGTTAATGAATCTATAAAGTAAAAAAAATGCCAAGACTAGTTTTGAAGATAACGTAGACTGCAGATTTTACCATTCAAAAAAAATCTGCTTACTGGTAATTTTCTAGTTACATTTCTGTACTATTTCTGAAATTGCTTTTTGTTGTGCTTCTTAGCAATGAGAAAAAAAGAAAGAAGTTAAGACAAGCCAACTACTTATAAAGTTCTGCCTGACATCTTATATTTGTACTTATGTACTTAAGTAAATGCAAACAAAATGAATTCTGATTAGATAATTTTTATACTGAGTATCTTGGTAAACATAAATATGAAGAAACTAAATCTGAAGTTGCAAAAGCATATCACCTGGGATATACACAGGTGTGTATGTACTCTCTCTCTCTCTGTGTGTGTATGTACATTCACACAAAACCACCATATTTCTGGCATCTATATGCCGACAAATAGCATACAAAATTTAGCTTAACTAAAAGATGTTATCCTCAAAACCCTAAAATTAAAACTCAAAATAATAGAATTTATTAATGTCCCGCTCTCCCTCCCTCTCCATTTTTTATTGTACTATCATTTTCAATTGCACATGAAATATAAATTCCACCATATCATTATCTCTTTTCCCTATACATAAACACAAATGAAACACATCTTCATACCCATATGTGTAGTACAGTTATTGCCTGAAAAACTAATGAGATGTCATACATTTAGTGCAAGGACAGTTCAGATAAAACAGTGGCTAGTGAATAATTGTGCTTCTTTGTAATTAAGCTAAGCATAACAACATGGGAATCATACATGGATAATAAAATACAGATAAATTAAATCAGTGGTTTTTGTTTGGAACACAAGGATTCAAAGGTGGCACTAATCAGTCCGCTTTGTAAACTAGATTTTCAGGGTGAAGATTGAATTAATTTATAAGGAAAATCCATTTCTAGTAAAATGAATATCTGATGCCAAAATATATATTAAACTCTTCCATAGTATGAAAGTATGATCTTTTGTTGAGAATAATTTTGGCTATTAAATTGCAAAATCTATAAATAATTATTTCAGTTAAAAAACTGCCTTCGGTTTAATTGCAGAAATAGAGATTAATATTTTTTTTATATTAGCTATATGTCTGCTTAAGCACTCTTATTCATAGCCAAGTTAAAAGGTTTTACCATAGATTGATGTGTATCATTTTGAAGATTAGGCACATATAAGGATGTATACATATTTAATTTCCTGCAGGAATAGACTTTTACACTTGAACAAATCAATAATAGTTCATTTGTTAACATTCTGTGGTTTTCCTGTCAGCATAAGTGTCCACAGATCATTAAGTAGTAACAAGATTAGTTACCATGATATTCCCCAAAGAAGAAAAGCAGGGTCAAGAATGAGTCCAAGGTCACTACTTATTAAAATGATTATGCAGGTAAAGCAAAAGATAAGCTTTTGATTTGCGCAGATCTCCTAAGTGCTGTTCTATTGTACTCAGCCAGCAGAGATGATCCTTTAAGCTTTCATCTGAACAGATTTGGAGACCCAGAGGTGTTTCAGATAGACTATTGGATCATAAAACATGATCTCTATGCCTTAATTTTTCTTTGCAGGTGTAAAGTGAGGACGAAGAAAAAAGAAAAAGAAAATCTTACATATTTATATAGCATTATTTAAATAGTACTCTACATATTTATATTATTATTATTTTCAAATGATATGTCTGTGACAGATTTACTATAGAAAGCTAAGGCTGAGATTCATAGAATGTCATACACATGCATGCTCAGGTTCAGGGGCTTTAGAGGAACTGTAAGAGCGTCAGACTCTTGCGGGCCTCAGAAGCCCTAGATAGACAGCAATATCCATTCCTTAATAATACAATACAATTACTTCAAACATAACAGAACAGAACAAACAGGGTTGGAAGGGACTATACTTCTAGTCCAACCCTCTGCTGAAGCAGGGGACCCTATACCATTTCACTGGATGTACAATTTCTTAGAAACCACAAGTGATGAGGCACCCACAACTTCTGGAGGCAGGCCGTTTTTGACACAAAAGTCAAAATAAGCTTGTAGAAACAATCCTCTGAAAAACAGCTTTCCTTGATTTCATGATTAAGAAAAAACAATCTGGGCATAGGAACTGTCTTTCAGGTTGCATTCGGATTACCCCACTTAAAGCATATTTCTCCCTTATTTTAAGTTTTAAAACTCCATTCATCCACCTATGACAATTAGATACAAAAGGAAACACATGCTTTGAACCAGAAGTGTAAGCTCAAAGTCCACATTCTTGCTCTGTTTACCAGGGCTTACCTCAGAAAACCAAGAATATTTAGGTAAAATGGAGAGGGCATTTCTTTCAAAGCTTCATTGAGTTTAATCAGTGGCATAACATCATTGGTCTGGTCTGGGCCTGAGGAAGCTTTGAATTAATGCAGAAACTTAACTTCCTTTCTACCATGCATGAGAATGTTTTCCCCTCCATCTGTCACTTAAGTGGGGCAAATCAATTGACACTGCCAGATGACACAGAGCGACCATTCCATTAACCCATGAAAGGAACAAGTGATCCTTTCATGCCTATGGGAATTGTCTTCCCTGGCAGCTACTTTGCAGACTTACACAACCTGCTTTTTTAATACATTAAATAATATTCTTTATCAGTCCAGCCATTATCCCTCCCACTCCCAATAACTCCCTCTCCCTTTCTTCCTCATTCTTTTTTACCTTGGTTGCTGGAAACATGACTGCAGCCTCCCAGGCACACCAGCAGCAGCACCAAAGGAAAGAACAGGTTAGATTTCCAAAGGAAGACCCTCATTTCACAGCTGTCCATGGCTGGGACCTCAGACCTTTCTCCTGGTCCCACACTGGGACTGAGGGTCTCAGCTTCTTTGCCTGTCCAGGCTAATAAGCAATGTTGAAGTCCTGAGGGAAGGAAGAATCAGGTTCACAGTTGTTGCCAAAGCTAAAGAAATAGCATGGGTGGGTGGGTGGTGGGTGGGATGTAGTAGGTGGGGAAAATTGCCCTGAGAAGAGCTCCCTTCCCTTCTAAAACAGTGGCTGGAGGGCAAAGGACATCGTTGAGCCTGTAAGACTTGAAAGGCAAACAGCTTAGTCAGAAAACTTTCCTCCAGATGCAGTGTGTGTGTGTGTGTGTGTGTGTGTGTGTGTGTTCGTATGTGTGTGTTGTAAGAAGGGTACCGAGGCTGGTGTCGCCCACCTGGCTGCCTTCTTCCGTTTTGCTTCCTTTTCAGATTCTCAGCAGCAGCAGCAGCAGCAGCAATCGTTTCACTGACGACCCCCCGAAGGACTGTAGCCACCGCCTGGGGAGCAGCCTGTCCACCCCTTTGGTTGATTGCCCATCCCCGCGCTTGACCATAAGGGACAGCGCCGGGACAGAGAATAATTTCCGAGCCGGGAAGGATTTTTTTTCCTCCCACGAAAAGCTGCTCTACTCTAAGATCCTGAAACGCTGGACAGCTCCCCGCTTCTCCTCGTCAAGAAAACTTGCCAAGCAGGATTTCCCAGCCGCCGCGACGGACTCCCCTTGGCTGGGACGGAGGCTCCTTGACGCCAAGCACTCGCAAATCAGACTCAGTTGGGCTGCTTCCCTTCCTCCCGCCTACTGACATCTCCGGTTTTTTCCCATCGGCTTTTCCTTGGGGCCGAACGAATCCTTCCTCCCGACCTTTTCTTTTCTGGAGGACTGTGCGTGCCAGTTATATATCAAGCCAAGCAGCCTTCGGAGGCACTCCAGAGGAGCAGAATCAATATGCTACCTGGCGTCCGAAGCGGCAGGAGTGCTGCTGAGGTTTTCTTGGAAGCAGCAGCCACTGTTTGCTGCAGAAAATCCCTGATTCGTGTTTCTCTTTTCTTCCCTGACAAAAGACGGGTGGGAGGAGAAATTACATTTGCACTGGATCTTTAAAGGTTTGGGGAGGGGTTGGAAGGAAAGAAGCATGAGAAGCAAGGCAGGACAGACGATGAAGCTTTTTTCCCACCTGCTCAGTTGTTCTTTTGAGAAGAGGTGAAAGATTAGTGGGTAGCTCTTGGAGAGCAGGAGGGAGAAGAAAGAAGCTAATTCAGCTTGGAAGCTGTGAGCAGCCTGCAGGTCAAATGCAGCCTGTTCGGCACTAGAGGGGGTTAGTTGACAAGATAAAAATAAATAAATAAAATAATAAATAAATAAAATTGCTCTCTTTGGCTTTTGAAGGTAGTAGCAGCTAAACTTTAAAATTGCATTAGATAAAAAGACATTGGTAATCCTCAGGGCATGGTGGCAATTTACTATCTTTAGCTTTTTTATCCTTCCTGGGGACAAGTAACTTCCTGGGCTGTGGAATAATGAATCCCCAAGTCTGTTGGGATGTTGCAGGCTAAGGTCATGTACAAAATGATGAGTTTCAGAGTTGGATCAGAGATTCATGATATTGTCTTGACTGAACTAGACCTATAAGTTTTTTGTTACATGTCCAACAGAGGAATAAATAATAAAAGACTGATAGATGAAAATGACTGTCTGGTGGTTATTACAGGGGCTAGCCAGAAGATGAATTAAAGGAATAGAATAGAAACAAAAAACCCAAAAATATATTTTCATGTATTCAGCATGTTAGCACTTTGGAAGGTACCATGGGGAAAGAGATGGGCAGCAGAGAAGATACCAAGAAGGACCTCCTAGCCCACAATGGCAGCAGCTGACTTGGTAATGTGTGAGAGAAGTTGTCCAGGAAAACATTACTCTGGGTCTGAACTCAATCTGCAGAAAGAAAGAGACTGTTGTCTAAAAGCAGTAGCAAATATATTTAAATGATTGTACTAGTTTATTCTAGGATTAGAGGAAGATGAGTAAAAGGAACTCAGGAAGGCTTCACATCAGGATAATGTGGAAGAATTTATAAAGGTATAAAGAGTGAAAGGAGAAAAAAGACCAAGGTTCACAACCTGAGGGGAAGAATCTAGGTCTAGAAAGTTAGAAGGAAATAATCAAGGGCAAAGGAGGTTTCACATACAAACTGGTCGGTCGATAAGATATTATCACCAATGAAAGTAGAGTTGAGGAGTGAAAAAAGAATCAAGACCCCCCACCCCTGCACACTTGTATCACAGATGAGGACAGGGAAAGTAATACACCAAAAAAGGGGTCATTAATAGATTTAGCAAGGTATTTTGAGAGTAGGGGGATAAGAAGAGAGACCAAGAAATATGATATATGAGTCTGTCTTGTGAGCACAGAAATACAAAATATATTAATTCATTTAAAACATTTATATAGTAACTTATATAAAGGGTGGCCCCTAATCAAAGTATGTAATACACTTAGAAAAATAGATTTGATAGAAGGGCTATTAGAAGGGGCATAAATTTTAAGAAATAAATCAATGTAAATTTATTTAAATGTGAGAGAAATCAAATAATAATTGTTTCTTTTAGACTAAATGCAAGCTAAAGAACCTCAAAAATTCCATTGTATGGGTCATTATTTAGTTTGTTGTGTGAATTGGTGTATTTATCTTTGGGACTGAGTTCTGGGTCACATGATTAGATAACAGTGCTGAAACTACACAAATATCTCCTTCAACTGATAAATCCAGAAACAAAGAATTCAAAAACAAAATCCATTTTATATTTTATAATTTACATAATTATAGCTGAGCTAATATATAAATACCATATCAGATGCCGTTTTGTACATATCAAAAAGTTTACTCTCAGGCATAAAGATATTCACTCTGCCTTTTCAAGATTATTTAGCAAAGTTTGAAATATTTTCTTTTTATTCTATCAATCTTTGTTATACTTTAGAGTTAATAGAAAGCATTCAGATAATAAACTAAAGGATTCTTTCTGATTGCAGTTGAACCTAAACTGCAGATACAATGAAGTTTTTAAAACACTGTAGAGGAGCTTTATAGAAGTAAAGAACAGTGAAAGAAATCAGTAGTGTAATAAGACTGTCTAATAGAGTGATACAAGTTTGAGCTATAATCTAGAAATATTCAGTCTAAATAATATTTCAGAATGAACTCTGATCAATATAAGTAATGCAAACATGAAACCCTTTGAATATTTAAGAGGAATGCGTGCAATAGAATATAATGAATTCCTGAACTTGTTCAATAAAAATTGGTATAGCTATATCTAGCACTGGATGGCCAATTTTCTTTACTGTACAGTCAAGGAGATTATGATTATGTCTGTAGACTTTTCACAAGTTATTCTTTTCAATCAATGTTGAAGGACAACATGACAAGGAAATTGAAAGAACTGTTTCATTTTTAGAATTAAAATGAAATGCTGTCGTCATGTATCATATAGCATATAAAGAGTGTGATTGAGTTGTTACAGGCATATGAAATTATCTAATTTTGAGTAATGCTACCACTCACAGTTGTAGAGGACATCCAGGTCTCTGGCAAAAACTTGCTTAACTTACACAAAAATTCATTTGAAACTGAAGGGCAATTTCTGAATCCAAACTCACATCTAACTGAATCACTCTAATTGAAAATATAACAATGTTGGAATACGAGATTATTCTATTTTGCAAATTCAAAGGTATTTTTTATGTTTTGACCCCTCCTAATGAAAAATTGAAGTGACTAATGTCTCTCTCACAATGTGGAATATAAAATCCATAAATAGTGCTTTCTATATCACTTAGGAAATTTTTAATTAAATAATGTCCAAAACCAAATAAAGATTTAAGACACCTGTAATTTATTTCTATATTACTGCTAACAAAATGGTGACCAGCAACATGCAGGAGACTTGCTTTCACTATAAACTTCTATAGTGGTTGAATTCCAAATAGTGTTAATCATAGAAGATCTAGAAAACAATGCAAAACAATAATTAGAGGTAATGTTGACGCGGGTGTATGTGAGTAAATGACTCTATTTTGTTGATTGGTTTCTGATCTTCAAACAGTAACTGTTCAAATAGAGAGAGACAACACTATTGTCTGTTCTGGGAATTGGAGTACAAATTTAAAACCATTTCATTCAATTATATTTTTTAACAAAAGCACCAGATTCGAAATATAAAAATTTACATGCTATGTAATTAGCAATAACAATTTATTACATTTTACAAAAAAAATACATACTGCACAATGTTTTATTTAATTAACAAAAGGGAAAATTTTAGTCACTAGATCTATTTTAACAATCATAAAATATTATTGTAAAACTTTATTTAGATGCTGAGGAAATGTGGTTATGATTGTGAGGAAGACACAATCTATTTATTATAATATATAGAAATTTCATTAAAGCAGTAATTTCTAACTAGAATACATCAATACTATGTTAATAAACAATGTATTGGCAAATATACTTTTTGTGCTATTCTTGAAGAGAAAGAAGCACCAAAAAAAAAAAAGAAGCACCATTTTTATTCTTTATAAAAGATGTAAATCAAAATTACATGTTGTTATTCTATAAACTGCTCTGTAGAATGTAATGTTTAATAGAATTTTATATTTTAAAGCTGAATATACTTTATTCTTTAAAATGTCATTGTATTATATTTGTTAAACGGTTTACTTTTTAAAAAATGCATTACTTACTGCAAATATTTTAGAATATGGAAAATAAATTATTGTAAAAAAAGGTATTTATTTTAGTCCAATTCCAAATTCTAATGAATTACTGAGAAATGTTGAGACAATAAGACAATTCAATATTTCAAATTCAAACTGAATAAAGTTAGAGAAAGGTGATTATTAAATTCCAAATTAAAAATCATACAGATAACAATTAGCCTACAGTACTAACAGTCAATTCTAACAATGTAGTTTATGTGCTATGAATTTATTTTTAAATGAGTTAT